CGCCTCTCCATGCTGGCTTGCCGGGGCGCAGCTCTGGACCGCGGGGCGGCGCGCGGAGCCCGGGCGGCCACTTGGTGGGCGGGATGTCGGAAGCGTCACCTGCTGCTCCGCCCTCGCAGCCCCCTCCTCCGCCCCGCGAGCTCCAAGCAAGGCCAGTCCACTGCGGGGAGCCCGAGACGCTGTGACCCCGCTGCGTGTGTGTGTGTGTGTGTGCGCGCGCTCGCTCGCGCGGGCGTGTGTGTGAGTGTGTGCGTGTGCGCGCGCGCTGTGTGCACAAGTGTGACCTTTTCTGAGCCGGGGAAACTGAGTGTAAGTCAATTTTCATTTTCCTTTGCCCGTACTGGGAAAAGAAATGGGTCAGAAGTGGAAATGATGAGTTCTTCAGACGAGCGTGTTTCTTGGCACAAGTACAAAACGCTTTCCAGTTGAATTTAACCAAGGCACACTTTGTTACATTAAAAAGTCTTACATTTACTATTTTGAGTTCAAAATTATATATTCAAGAAATTTGGTAACGACTTCTTTCATGATGTGATCAGGTTTTCTCTTCACTGGGGAGTTTCCTTCTCCTTGCGTTAGTGATGAGGATTTTTTGAAAATCAGGTTCCAGACTTCTTGGGTCTTAAACAAAAGAGCAGAGACAGATTGATGAATGCTCACCTGTAAAAGCCTTGCGTGTTTCACTCCACCCCTGAAGAGGCGCTGTGCAGAGCCCCTACTGTTCCGATCCGTGGCGCTGCCTCCCTCTGTACGTTGCTGTGCGCGTTAACCTGGGGGACGCACTCCTACCTCTAATTTCATAGACCAAGCGTATCTGCTTTTAAATTTGGTATAACTGCCTCACAGAGTGTGGCCTCGCATGTGTCTGGATTCTTTCACCCAACTGTAGACTTGAAAAACACATGTATGTCATTGTACATCCCGCAGGAGCGCTTCATTTCTATAAATATTGTACATATCACAACTACTTACCTATTCTACTTTTTTTCAGATTATTTTCTTTATTAGTGCATGTTTGCAGTACGTAATGTTTACATTCCTGGTATGGAGTTGGAACATGTGTGTAACACTTCTTTATTCCTTTATTCATCCCCCTTTCCTCCCCTTCCCCGTAATAGGCATTTGTTTTCCAAATTAAAATTATTTTTGGTAGTAATGTGATAAACACTCTTACACATGTCTTTTCATAAGCATATGCACACCATTCTACTAGATTAACTTTGATTTTTGCCATATATTTTCCTATTGGTTTATTTTTAAGTTTTCTCTATACCTTTTTTAAATGGGTAGATAATCCTTTACTGTTTTTTGCTTTGTTAAAATTTGGAAGTCTTGTTTCTAGTTTTATACTCAAAGTAGTATACAATGATTGAATGAAACAAATTGTTAAACATATCATTCTTGGAAAATTTATTACAAGATTCTCCTTAGAAACATTTTCTAAAGAAGCATTCTAGTAAAAGAAAAATTTAATCTAACAAGAGGTTACAAAGAACATGGAAGGGGTAATAACTTATTGGCTAATAAAGCAAGGTTCCAAAAATTGTATCTCTGTAATAAACAATAATTCAGATCTACATGGAAGAGGGATAAAGATTAGAAAATGAGATCATAAGGGAAGGGAGAATTGGGTTAAGATATACATGTTGGAAAATTTAAGAAATAGACATTACATTTACCATATGTATCATCTTTAGTAAATTAGGAAAAAACAAGAATAGCAATCATAAGTGTTACTCTTTTAACTAGCAGAAGAATAGTTTAATGAATTACAGGACAGAAAAAAATTACAAAAACAAAGCATGGAAACAAGGAATGGAAAAAAGCTTTTTTATGCCAGTAATTACAATATTCAAAATGATTGGAAACTTAAAAGCTAGACACTTGGGATGCAGAAGAATGAACAAAAGGAGGAGAAAAATCCCACCCATCATGAAAGTAAATGATAGCTTTAAAATTCTTTATAAAAGAAAAAATTTGCTTAACTTTAATAATACTTTGCAGAAAAAAGAAAAACATAGTGTTTAAACTTCTTGGACACGGCTGGGGATATAGCTTAGTGGCATAAGCACCTGCCTGGCAAGCGCAAGGTCCTAAGTTCGATTCCCAGTACCAAGAACTTCTTGGACATGTGTAAAGGAGCACTCAGAATTAATATATAACATTGACTATTACCAGGTACCGATGCTGAGCAAAAGAAGCAGTGGAATCAACAAAATGAGGAGAGATATAATGAGACTAACAGCAGGTATCAATAAAAATTGAAAAAATGTGTAACTTTTTCTTCTAGAGTCAGTTCAACAACTGTGTGGCATGATTTACTATCTCAATAGAAGATAAAAATAAACATGATCTAGATTAAAAAATAAGGGCAAATACTCATATAACAGTAAAAATAACAAGACAATGCTATAAACATGATAAACACTTGAAAACATACAAAATAAATGAATTTCTGAAGGTGAAAAAATTGGTCCTACAATTTTTTTGAATCAATAAATTAATCACTTTCAAAGCAATTCAGTTGAAATTAAAGGTTTCCTGTGGAAAATAGAGCACAAATCTGAAGATGCTGGAGAATAGAAATCATTACCTTAAGTATATGATCCAAAAGGAGAAATATAATCATTTATTTCTTCTTTGATTCTTATGTTACATTAATTTCAAAGCCAGGAAAAGATAATACCAAAAAATGAAGTTATTATTGAATTTTGCTTACAAATATAAGCAGAAAAATTCTGGAATAATTTAGCATTAGAAAATCCGTCAATATATTTTCTTACACTAATTGACTACTACAGAAAATACAAATGATTATCTCAATAGAAAAATTACTTCATAAGTTTAACAACCTATTTATAATAAAACCAAAGAAAGCAGGAATAATAAACATTTCCTACCCTTGGTAATATGCTTAATATCCAAATTTCATCAAATGTAATACTTACAGAATTTTTTAAAACATTGTTTTAAAATTCAAACTAAGTGAAAGAATAATTTTATCCCTGTTATTTAGCATTTAAGAAGAAATATAAAGATTGGAAAGAAGAAAGTCTAACCACTATTATCTGTAAGAGAGATGAGTATTGGCACGGAAAACTGTCAGAATCAAAAGAAAACTTCGAATCACAGAGTTTAACATGGTTTCCAAATACAACTAAACTTTCAAAATTCAGAAATTTTCCTGAGCTACTGACAAGCAGTCAGATTTCACTTGAAAACAAAAGGATATTATTCATGCTAGTGAACAAATGAAAAGTACCAAGGAATTAGCTCGGCAAAAATTACACAAACCTACAGAAAGAAATTTTTAGAACTTCTCTAAAAGACTCTCAGAAAGACTTGAATAAATGGATAGTATACATGTATGGTGAGGTGCAAATTATACTAAAAAGACATCAATGCTCCCAAAGATCTCTACAATGAAAATCATGAAACACTGATAAATGGAAGAAAAATATTGTACCATGTTCATGGATTGAAATAATTAATATTGTTAAAATGTCCATACTAGCCAAAGTGATCTGCAGGGTCAATGCAATTTTTATCAAAATACCAGAACCAAAAAATACGGAACTAAAAAAAGCAATCCTAAAATTTGTATGGAGCCCTAAATAACACCAAATAGCCAAAACCATCTTTCACAAAAAGACAAAGCAGGAAACATTATACTTCTTGATTGCAAAAATACTATAAAGGCGTAGTAATCTAAACAGCATGATATGTGTGAAAGAGCCACATAGACCAATGGAACAAAGCAGAGATGATAAACCTGCATATAAACAAGCAATTGATTTTCAACAAAAGTGCTAAGGTCATATCCTGCAAAAAGGGTAGTCTTTCCAAGAAATAGTGCTGGGAAAATTGGATAGCCACATGCAAGACAATGATACCAGATCCCCATTTCTCGCTACTCCAAAAAAAATCAACCCAAAATAAACTAATGACTTAAATGTAAGACCTGATACTATAAAACTACTAGAGGAAACACAAAGAAAATTCTTAGAACTTTGGAGTAGACAAGGAAATTTTGAACAAAACCCCAGAAGCACAGGAAATAAAAATAGATAAATGGGATGATATCAAACTAAAACATTTCTGGTTATCAAAAGGAATAATCAGCTGAGTGAAGAGACAAGTTTATAAAATGGGAGAAAACTACCCACCTGACAAGAGATTAATATTCAGAATGCATGTTGATATATTTCTATATATTTCATAGCACAAGACAGATAATCTGTTTAAAAGTGGAGAATCGAAATAGACATTTCTCAAAAGAAGACACACCAATGACTAACAGGTATGTGAAAAAATGGTCAATGTCAGTAGCGGTCAGGAAAATGCAAATCAAAACCATGACACGGTATCATCTTGTATAAAAATAAGAATGGCTGTTATCAAAATATGAAAGATAACAAGGGCTGGCAAGGGTGTAGAGAAAAGGGAATGCATGTACACTGTTGGTAGGAATATAAATTAATACAAGCATTATGGAAAACACTATGAAGGTTCCTCAAAAAATTAAAAATAGAACTACCACATGATCCAGTTTTACCACTGATGGGTCTATTTTCAAATGAAATGAAAAAAAGAGACATCTGCACTCCCAGATCCACTGCAGTACTATTTACCATAGCCAAGAGATAGAAGCAACCAAAGCATCTGCCAGCTGATGAGTGGGCAAAACTGTGCTGAACATTCCAAAAATGGAATACTGCTTAGCCATAAAAAGAATGAAAGCCTGTAGTTTACAATAATGTGGTTGAAACTGGAGGTCATTATATTAAGTCAAATAAGCCAGACACAGAAGGACGTGCACTACATGGTCTCACCCATACGTGAAGTCTAAAAAAGTTACTGAAGTTGTGAAAATAGTGGTTACTGCAAGCTGGGGAGAGAAGTGAGAAGAGAGGGATGAGGACAGGTTGATCAATGAGTATCAGCTTACAGTTTGACAGTGATAAGAAGTTCTGGTGTATTTTGACAGTAGAGTGACAAAGATAAAAAAAAATGCACTATATATTTCAAAAGACTAATGTCTTAGTTATTTTTCTCCTTGCTGGGACAAAATACCTGAGGTCCAAAGTTCAGGAAGGAAAGGTTTATTCAGCTCATAGTTTGTAGAGGGTTCAGTCCATGGTTGGCTGGCTCCAAGGTATGGTGGCTCGGCAGAGGAACATCTCAGAGAACAGTTCATGGTGCCCG